TGTTAACATTTCTTTTATCTGACTTGTTGGGAAGCTTATGTCTGAAGCTTAACCAAGTTTTTAAGTTCAAGCCATATGGTACATAGTAAATACACACTGGACCCGTTGGCAACAATTTCCATGAAAAAGAAAAAGCAACAGCAAGTGGAAAGAGACAATCTTTTTCAGGCTGTGTATAAATGTGTGAATGAGTGGAACTCACTAAATTATAAATAAAATTCACCATGCAAATGTCTACCAATCTTTTTGTCCCTGGGAAAAATCAGTTTTTTCCAGATCAGACAACTACCATTTTTATAATACACCATGCTTTACTATCCTGAAAGTGGGCTTTAAATGTTCAATCAGATGATCCCAGGAATATTGGGTAATCCTTGTGTAAGCAATTTGCTAAATACTATATATTGAAGAAACTTCCAGTCAGATTCATATGCGCATTACAGTGCAGGCAGGTAAATAGAGCCTGTACATTTATTTAAAATGCCTATTTAGATGCTTACAGAAGGTACAAGTGCTCTGCCTGTCAGTATAGGTATCTTGGTGCTTCTATTTTGGCAACTCCTCCAGCTAGCTGTGTCATATTCATTCTTTTTTTTCCTACAACAAGGCCTATTTTGGGATGAGTGGCAACTTGTCCCCTAAAAGAATCTCTATTTTCTAAATTTCCTGCTATTTAGGGTAGTTCTGTAACATAGTTCTGGCTAATGGATTTACATGAAAGCCTAATAGATAAGGCTTTCTGAAAAGCCAGTTTTGCCCATAAAAAGTTGGCAGATGCCTTTTGCTCCTTATTCTTCCTCTTTCTTTCTTATCGGGACCTAGACATAAGAAAGGTAGAAGCCACACACTAATTGTTGCAGAACAGAAAGATAGGAGGAATCTAATCCTTGATGGCATCAAGGACCATTGGATGGGCAGACTTGGAGTGGCCTCCGGATTTTTTTTTTTTTTGGTACCAGGGATCGAACTCTGGTCCTTGGGCTTGCAAGGCAGGTGGTGGAATCACTGAGCTAAATCCCCCGCCCTCCAGATTTCTTATTTAAGGGAAATAACCCACTTGTTTTAATCACCTAGTCAAGTTTCTCTTTCATGTCAATGAAATACTGATGCGTGGTGCCTAACTTCCATAGAGCAGTATGCTTGTCTACAGAGCCCTGGAGTGGCTCATTTGTCCCAAGAGTGGCTCATTTGTCACAAGAAGTCACTATACTGAAGGTCTGAGTGAGACTGATTTTCAGACAATCAAAGGGTTTGGTTAACCAAAGAAAGGAAGAAAAATTTGAAATTTCTCTCTTATTCTTTGAGTTGCTTTCAGTTGTCACTGTGACTCAAAATGGACAAAGTGTCTGTGTACTCTTAGTCATATTTACTTCAGTCTCCCTACTCCCAGCAATCCAAAATTGTAACTTTCTTTAGTAATCTAAAAACTATATCAAAGCCAAAGCTTCTTAACCTGCAACACCAAATATTCAAGCTTGTTTAGCATGTACGTGTCTGTGAATGTGCATGTGAATGTGTGGGCATGTCCTTCACTGATAAGTTTCTTTAGCACAGAAGAAGGACCTAGAATCTTTTCTGTCAAGTTTCCAGTCTAAATCATGAAAGTGCATTTTCATTTGGTGAGTAAAAATGGACTTGTGGATGGAGGGGACAAGAATTCAGAATGGTGGACTCCTATTTGATTCTCATGATAAATCCCTTTCCACTTCTATAGAAAAAGAACAAGAAGTGTTGGCAGAACATCAAATAGTTCCATGTGTGTTTGTGTGTGTGTGTGTTTGTGTGTGTGTGTGTGTATGTGTTGGCAGGGGTCTGTATAACAAGGCTGGAAAGGTAGATGAATCTGACTGTAGGGTGTACTGGGACCAGGTTTAGGAGATTGGAATTTGTCCCGTAGTTATCATTCCCCAAAAGCTCCCTCAGAACTCTAAGATAAGGAACTATCTCATAAATAAGGTTCCATGGTGAGATAAATTTGAGAAGTATGCAAGCTACATCCCTTCCTTTTTGAGAATTCACACTGTACATAGTTGTATATTAAAGTCTGAGAATTTCTTCATTAAAGGAAGTGGTTACACTTAGTCCAGGACTCCTCCCAAGATAGTATCTGTTACCAGGTAAAGTACAAGCTTAACTCAATTTCTATTAAGAGTCAAGAAAGAAGTTTTGGGCCGAGGATTTAGCTCAGTGGTTTTGCCGCCTGCTGCACAAGCTCAAGGACCCAAGTTTGATCCCCCACCCTCCGTACCAAAAAAAAAAAAAGAAGAAGTTTTGTGGATATAGACAAGAGTATTCTAAATTTTATATCAGAAGGCAAAGAAACTTGAATAGAGAAACAATTTGAAAAGAAGAATTTAGTAGGGAAACATTACAGGGGATCCAGAAATAAACCTTCACAAATATGCCCAATTGATTTTTAATAAAAGTGAAAAAACAGTTCAATGTTAGTCTTCAATAAATGGGGCTATAGCAATTAACCTCCATAGGCAAAACAAACAATGAACTTTGACCTAAATTGCACATCTTATACAAATTTTAACTCAAAGTGGGTGATAGACTTAAATGTAAAACTATAAAACTTTTGAAAGAAACAGGGAGAGCCAGGGCTGGTGGTACATGCCTATAATTCCAGCGTTCTGAGAGACTGAGGCAGGAAGATTGCAATTTTGAGCCTACTTTGAGCAACTTAGTGACTTAGCAAGACCCTGTCACAAAATAAAATACAAAAATGGGCTGAGGGTGCAGCACAGGGCAAAACCCTTGATTTCATTCTCCAATAGTGTTAAAAAAGAAAGAAAAGACACAGAGAAGTTTTTAAGAATTTGAACTTAGGTAGAAAGTTCTTAGACTTGACAACAAAACCATAACCCATTTAAAAAGCAGAAATTGGTATACTAGACTTTATAAAAATTTTTACAAATTTGTTGTGCAAAGGATCATGGTAAGAGGATAAAAATACAAAATATGGAATAAGGAAGAAATATTTGCAACCATATATCTGATAAAGGGCTAGAATATGTAAAGAACTCTCAAAACCAACAGAAAAACTCCAAACAATCCAATTATAAAATAGGTAAAAGACATAAAGAGACATCCCACTAAAGAAGGTTTACATATGACAAGTAAGCACCTGAAAAGATGTTCACAATCATCAGCCATTAGGGAAATGCAAATTAAAACCACAATAGATATTACTGCTACATAGCTATTAGGATGGCTAGCATAAGAAAGTGTCAACACTTCCAAAAGCTGGAGAGGAAGATTATGCAGAAACTGAATTCACCTCATATTGCTGGTGAGAATGTCCAGTGGCACAGCTCTGCTGGAAAACAAGTGGGCATTTTCTTAAAAAACTAAACATGCAGCTGCCACATGGGCATTTGTCCCAGAGAAATCATGACTTGTGTTCACACAAAAACCTGCACATGAATGTTTATAGCAGCTATGTTTTATATAAATGCAACATCAAATCTCACAGAATAATCCTGTATTTAATCCAATTGACCCTTCTTTATAACAATTCTGGAAACATTACTTCTGCCTTTATAGACCAAATGAGAAAAATATATAGAAAATAGAATCAAGTACTGTACTTGATCTGAAGACTGACACCAAGCTTTCTAAGGAAAAGGGGAAAATTAATATTATTTAAACTCCAAGGAATCACAGTGCTGCCTTTGTAATCAGTGATCTGAACTAAGACACAACTGGATATAATTTAGGTTCTAATAAAAATAAAGTGTTTTAGAGTTTAGTGAATATTTATTGAAAACTCCCAATGTGCATGTAATAAAATTTCCACATGAAACTAACCTGCATATCTAAGGGTTATCTACATTTGCAGATGAATAAACTAAGAAGCAGAGAAGGTTTGAATGTACTCTGTTCCTGGAACTTTGATATTTGTCATTATCTGATTTCATTCTCACAGTTGTCTTGGCCAGGTTTCCTCCCTCCTGGTTTCTCATGTCTTTTTTTTTCTTTTGGTACTGGTAATTGAATTAAGAGACTTTATTTTTAAATTTTGATACAGAGTATCACTAAGTTGCCTAAGCTGGTCTCCAACTTTTGATCCTCCTGTCTCAGCCTCCCAGAGTGATGGAATTGGAGGTGTGTGCCACCACATCCAGCTTCAAGTCTGGTCATCATTAGAGTATACGGAGGTGCGCCAAGATTAGATCCTAAAATTTGGGACAACAAATGTCTGAGAGCTCATTAAAACATGCAAAGAAAAGAGGTCTTAAAATATTAATATTTTTTTCTGTTCATTCTCCTTCTTCATTATTCTTGGTCCTGCCTGTAGTGGGCTTGTTATATAGTAAGTATACAGTAAGAAAGGAGGATGCGAGGGGAAGGGAGGGGAGAAGGAGAGGCAGAGGAGAGAGAAAGAAAGAGACAGAGACAGAGAGAGAGAGAGAGAGAGAGAGAGAGAATATGAATATTGAGGTCTTTAAAACTTCCAAATCAGGCTCTTGCAAATTGAGGGCTCTAGGGCTCTGGGCACAAAATTTATGCCATAGCAAGCACACAGGAAAGCTATGAGTAAAGCCATCTATGTGCCCCCTCCACTCCAGGGAGGTAACTCAGGAGTCTCCTGTACTGGGGAGCAGGGGGTTGAGGGAACCTTGGTATGAGCCCCTTGGCCACCCCAGAGCCATCTGGCACCATCCAAGTGAAAGCATCACTTGTATGCAGGCAGTGGAGCTATGTGGCAGATCTCCTCCCCCAACCACAGAGGAGACAGCTTCCATGCCTGCCAGCTTTCCAGGGCTCCATCCATACCACCCCAAATAGACTCCTCCTGCCCTGTGTGGTAGAGTCCTTGGCCTCAAAAACCCACAGAGGAACTCATGGCGGACCCTGGCAGTACTTCCTGGTTAAAGGCACAGAAAGTGCCTCAGGGGGCAGAGCTGTACTCTGTAGATGATTAACTAGAAGCTGCTGGAGCCCGGGGAGATGAGGTTGAGGGCAAATCAGTTTTCTGTCTTTCACTGGGCCCCACGAATGAAAAGCTCTCTCAGTTGAGTGGATAGGGACTTGGCCTGTCTAACCATGTTCAGGGTAAAGTGAGGATATCTGAGCTTGGAGAGGCCATCATGAAATGACCAGTGACCAGCACAGATCCTGGCAGCAGCTGTTCCAAGTGAGACCATGGATTTACATTCCTAGGGAATTCCAGAAAGCCTTGGGAAGAGGAGTCAGGAAAAGGGTGGCTTTTATTTTGTTTTGGTACCGGGGATTGAACTTGGGACCTTGGGCCTGCAAGGCAGACGGTGGAACCACTGAGCTAAATTCCTGGCCCAGGAAAAGGGCGGTTTTTGAAGAGCAGGGGTCAGAGCCTCACACCAGGATTTGTGGGCACCAAGGAGAAGGGTGACCTCTGAGTGTGGGGAAGTGAGGGACATATGTGTGACAAGAGGGGGTGGGCAGTGCCTCACATCTTGTCATCTTTGCTCTGATACTCAGCCAACACTGCACCTTCATTCTTGTAGTTTTCAGGCCCAGATTTGGTGCTCAAATTAAAACAAAAGTGACAGAGTTATACATTTTATAGAAAAGAAAGCCTATAGCCTTGTACATGGATAAAGAGAGAAAGCAACAAACTCTTTCCTTCCCTCCTTCCCTCTGTCTCTCTCTCCCTCCCTCCCTGCCTCCCTTTCTTCTGTGTGAGTATGAGAGTGTGTGTGTGTGTGTGTGTGTGTGTGTGAGAGTGTGAGAGAGAGAGAGACAGATAGACAGACATACAGAGACAGAGACAGAGACAGATAGAAAACTGCTAATGTCTGGGTCTAAAACTCTAGGGGAGGTACAGGGCATCCTCTCTAGTACTCAGTTCTAAGGAAATGGCTCCAGCCTAGGAATGAGAACAGATACTCTTGCTTCCAGCTAGACTTAATTTCTTCATCTACAGAATTTCAGTTTAGATTGAACAATTGCAAAACATTATAATTCTAGGATTTATAATTTTCCTTAGATTCTTAAATGTGTTTCAGTCAAATAGTTCTTAACATAGGTTTCTGTTCTTGAAGGTTAGCTGGCTGTTCGTGTGCACAGTGTGTGTGTGTATTTGTGTATGTGTGTGATATAGGTGTAGTGTATTGTGCAGTGTGTGTGTGGTGTCCGTATAGTATGTCATACACTATTTGCTCTTCCTTTACCAAGAAACCTCCCACATTGTCCCATCTATGGTAGATTTCCGGATCTTTCAGAAATCCTTTCCCACACCAAGACAAATAAGCAAGAGCACATGTGAAAAGACTTTTTTACTCCAGGGCCTCTTGAGATGCAACCAAACAGCTGGAATTACACACTTCACTGAGAACTAGGGACGTGGCATGGCAATGGGAAGTTTGGTTTGTATTTGGCAGCCAGTTTCCTATTTCCAAAACCAGAGAGGGCAAAAGAGAATAGTGGCTGGTCTGTCCCCTACTGGCAGCTGGAGTGCGTGTGAAATGTGTGTGTGTGAAATGTGTGTGTGTTCAGGGAAACATTTCATTAAAATCTGTATCTTCTCTGGGATTTTCCCATTTACATGTGTATTTCAGGCTCCAATTCTTTGCTCTGCTTCCTTTCTCTCTTCATTCATCTCCTAGCCCCCTTGCTTTCTCATTTGCCTCCAACAGTAAGTCAAGCTCTGGACAGTAGCTCTTGGTTCTTAATCCACTGTCTGGGTGAGGCCTCCAGATTAAAGCAGGAGAGAGTATATGCTGTGCAACTATCAGAATGCTGGGCTCTGGAGTCTTTTGACTGCATTCACCTTCCTGGTTATGGGAGGGGCTCGGGTTCCCCTTGATTCTGGGGGAACCTGGAGTTGCCAAAGTTCACCTGGCATTTCATATCTGTTTCAGTCATGTGCAGCTTAAACCAACTGGCTTAAAACAGCAATCATTTATTTTATTCATGGAATCTGCAGTTTGAGCAGGGCCCAAAAGGGACAGCTTCGCATCTCTGCTTCCACATGGCATTTTCTAAAATGACTCAAAGACGAGGGGTGACTCAACAGCTGCGGGCTGGACTCATCATACACTGGTTTACTCACATACCTGGTGTTTCATATTTGCTATTGGCTGAAACCTTAGCTGGAACTGTCAGCTGCTGTATCTCCACATGGGTTTTCTGTGGCTGCATGATGTTCTCACACTGCATGGAGACAGAGTTCTAGGGGTGAATGGCTCAGGAGACAAGGTGGATGGAAATGTGTGGCATTTTTATGACTTAGTCTCTAAAGTCATTTAGTGTCACTTATGCCATCCTTTTTTGGCAAGGTACTTAACAAAGACCCCTTACCACTCAATGGGAAGAGGGTTCAACATCACAGTGTAAGAATAGTATGTATTGTGTATAGGTGTGTGTAATGTGCTATGCACCTTATTGAAGTATAGTGAACACACACTATACTGTGGTATCTATATTTGAAAATACAATCTGTCACATCTCCTTCCACACACATAACCTCTTTCTTTGCCTCTTCTAGTCCTGTTGGTTTAAATTTGTGCAGAGAGAATTTTTAGTAAGGACTATGTTCTCACATGCGTACTTAAGCTTATACTGTTTCTTAAATCATATAGTAGGTAGAAGAGCCCCAAGGTGCCCCCCAGATCTCTGCACCTGGAGTACACTGTATGTAATCTCCTCTCTTGAGTGTGGGAGACCTGTGAATATGATGGGATTTTACTGGAATGATTAGGGCACGCATTTGGGCAAGGTGAAGAGACTTTGCAGATGTAATTAATGTTCCTCTTCAGTTACTTTGGGCTAATCAAAAGAGAGTCACCCTAATAATGTCAGATGGGACTGATATAGCACCAGGCAAGTTTTTAAAGAAAGTCTGGGCCTGCTATGTAGAGAAATATCCCACTGCTGGCTCTGAAGGGGTAAGCAAGCATGTTATGGGCTGGCTCTGCAGTTATGAGGGTGGCTTCCTCCTAGCTGCTGACAGCAACCCCTGGCCAACAGCCATCAAGAAAAAAAAGGGATATCAGTCCTAAACTGAGGAAGCTCAAACTGCAAGGAAATAATTCTGTAAACAACTTGAATGGAGTTAGAAGAATTCCAGATGAGAGTACATTCCGCAAGCATATTGATTTCAGCTCTGTGAGACCCTGAGCAGAGAACCCAGATACTCCCTGTCCGTGTTCTTGACCCACAGAAACTATGACATAAAACACAATGAGATTTAAGCCACCCAGTTTGTGGTAATATGTTAAAAAGCATTAGAAATGAGCACGAGTCATAACCACTGGCAAGAAACTTTATTGAGTGGGTAACTGGAGAAATACAGGGAAGATCCAATAGCAAGTCTAAGCACACTGAGAGACTCGGTTCCAATGTCACTCTTGTGTCATCTTCATGGGTTCCCTTTAGCTAGAAGTAATCTCTTGCATCTGAAATCCTATAGCTTTGTCCCTCTTTTGTGGTTCTTCTTAGATTCTACCTATATTTATTAGTGTACCTGCCTTGTCTTCCTGACTGGATCATGAAGTCCTCTTGATGAAAATAAGCACATTCATATGCTTTTTTGAGGAACACCAGCTGATTATTTAATTTTGTAGTGCCGAGGTGCTTGACATAATTCTTTGCATCCCAACAAAGTTTTATTGACAATTCATTAAATACTTTTGTCAATGGAAGAACTTCTACTTGTTGAAGTGAACATATTTTGATATAATGACAATATAGGCATGGTCTTCATGATTACATTAATGGTGTTAGTTAAAAATATCTAAAGTATGCAGCCATTCTGTTCCTCATTTGGAGTCAGTGAGAATTTCTGTCATCTGAGATTTTGAAATTAAGCTTGTTCATCCAATGGATTCCAGTTCTCTGAAACTCTCTGCCAAGACAGAATCATGGATCTATCTGAGTAAACTTTTTTTGTACTAAGAATAGACGAAAGAATTTCTTAAGCCACTAGAATATAGAGGGACAGTGTCACCTCTAGAATTAGGACTAGTACTTCTAGAATCAGGGCCACTGTGCTTATAAGAAGTAGAAATGCAATTTCTTCTTGGGTCACTAAATACAGGTCTAGTTACAAAAATATATAGCCTTGAACTCCTCTTTTAAATGAAGTTTGGGGACACTGACTATAGAGGAAGTTTGAGGTGACAAACTTGCTCTGAAGAAATCGACAGCCCTGAGTGGGTGGAAGGGTGCTGCTTGTTCAGGCCCCTGGTGGGCCTTTGGGAGGTTTTCAGAGGCCCCAGGCAGCCCTGTCTCAAGGAACTTCATGTAGAGTTATGCCTGAGGACTTGTATACCACAGGGAGCTGGTTTTGGCAGCTTAATAACAAGCATCACCATTAATAACCATCTTGTAGCTTATCTAAAGATAGAATTGTAATGCAGTGAGGGATTCTTTTTGGGTCAAGTTATTATGCATTTTGAGGAACATCAGCTCATTGTGTTTGGCTTAAGAATATCTTTTGGGGACTTCCAGATGTTGGGACTTATAGAAATAATGAATGGAAACACTACATTTACACAGCTCCTAGAGACATAGAGTTTCACATACACTATCCCAATGAACCTTGGGATAAACAAAAGCTCCTCTCTTATCTTAAGCTAACATAGGCAATGAAGTTAGAGCCAAGTTGTTAAAGCATGAATGACATTCCCTTTGTTTAGAAATTAGGAGTATGTCGCCGCCGAATCACCTCGCTGCAGACAGGCAGGTCTGTGTACAACCTGCCGAGGTCCCAAGGCACACAGAAGATGCCGAATCACCACACTGCAGACAGGCAGCCACCTGGTTTCACACTACAAAGACGCAGAGGACACCAGACCACCAGACCAAGGTACTGAGTCCCACTGTTCCCGGCCCAGAGGTAGGGGCTTCTGAGCCGCCATCCCACTGCTCCTGGTCCGAAGGAAGGGGCTTCCCAGTCACCATCCCTCGCACTGCTCCCAGCCTAGATGAAAGGGCTTTTGGGCCACCTTCTGTGTCACTGCTCCTGGCCCAGAGGAAGGGGCTTCCGGACTACCATCCCTCCCACTGCTCCCAGCCCAGAGGTAGGGGCTTCTGAGCTGCCACCCCACTGCTCCTAGTCCAGGGGAAGGGGCTTCTCAGCCACCATCCCTCCCGCTGCTCCCAGCCCACAGGAAAGGGCTTTGGGGTCACCATCCCTACTGCTGCTCCCGGCCCCTGTCCCACCTCTCCCAGCTCAGAGGAGGTAATCCGTGCAG